TGTAAAGGGTATGTTGCTAAGATGAACTTCGGCCACTTAAAAAAAATAGCTGAGAGAACGATAACAGATACAACCAGTTTTTTTTTTGCGTAGTTCATTAACTTTATTTCGCTTAATTTAATAAAAAAGGATTAAACAAATTTTATTTTTGACTTTGGAAATTGAAAAAATGTAATTAATCCAAGGGGGCTGGATCTTAGCTATCTATCCGTGTGTATTAGCCTCAGGAGCGGGGGAAGGCATGCTGCTATGAGCCACCATTATTTCCTCTTCCATGCCACATATAAGCTTTTTCTCTTCCGGCAGCCTTGAGCCACCATTATTTCCCCTTCTGGGCCAACATATTTGTCCCTTCCGGGAAAAACTACTTTTTAAATGGTACATTAAAGGCCTTTAAAGTGTGATTTTCAAAAATCCGCCGCATGACGCAAAAAATCACAACTCAAACCATTTTTTTTCAATTTAACATAAGAATAATACGTTAATATTAAAAAACTAAATAATTTTTCGTAATGTGGGAGCAGAGAATATATTGCAAAATCACAATATTTACTGTCATTACTTACTCGTTACAGATTTTATCAAAAAAAACCGTTTTTCAGTAATTTTGCTTTAACACATTGCACATTCAGTAATTGCACATTTTCAGTAATTGCACATTTTCAGTAATTTTGCTTTAACACATTGCACATTTTCACACAAGGGTACCCTTCAAAACTGAAGTGTATTTTACGGTGCGTCATTTTTAATGTTCACACTTTAAATGCCTTAAATATACTATTTAAAAAAATATTTTTGCCCGGAAGAGTCAAATGTGGTGGGCCACGGCCGCCTGCCTTCCCCCGCTCGCCTGAGTATACACTTAGTGTAGTTTACTAATTAAGGATATAAAGAGATGATGGCCTAATGATACAGTACAAACATCAAATATGCAGTACGCGTCCGAAGTACTCAGTTTTCTCAGAACAGTTTATTAACGATGAAATATTTCTCTGTAATAGACTGTAATAGTACGTCTGCTTTTGATAATGTAATCCTGCACACGATAAAGGAGTAAACTTTAGATCGTTTTTAAACAAATCCCAACCCTACTCTCTAGCACTAGAATTATAACATTTTCTTCTCAATATATTTCGCCAAAAACTTTTGCATCATCAGGAGTTTGTCCTATAATGTAACAGATATAAGCAAAAAATAAATAATAATACAAACACAGCAACTAAAATAAACAAAGAAGAGAACAAAAATAAAAATCTTTTTATGTAAAATGGAATTTTTCAAAATGAATATTGTCAAAACAGAAATCACCCCCGAGTACTTTAATATACAGATTGACCTTTGGAAGTAAAGTACATGGCCTATATAATTAGTAAAGGATTAACGTACATCATCACTCTATATACTATAACCTCGTTGAATTAATCAATCAAAGTTTGAATTTAAACTGAACTAGCTGCCTAGTGCTGTTATGCAGATTCCAGTAAGCAGATCAGCAGTAGACAAAACAGTTAGAAGACTAGCAGATGGAGTAGGTATCTTTCTAAATATATATAGTTAGCAGCTGCTAGCAGATGGAATATGTATCTTTCTAAATATATAGCTAGCAAACTAGCAGATGGAGTAGCTATTTTTCAAAATATATAGCTAGCAGACTGGAAGATGGAGTAGGTATCTATCTTAATATATAGTTAGCAGACTAGCAGATGAAGTAGGTATCTATCTAAATATATATAGTTAGCAGACTAGCAGTTGGAGTAGGTATCTATCTTAATATATAGTTAGCAGACTAGCAGATGGAGTAGGCATCTATCTAAATATATATAGTTAGCAGACTAGCAGTTGGAGTAGGTATCTATCTTAATATATAGTTAGCAGACTAGCAGATGGAGTAGGTATCTATCTAAATATATAGTTAGCAGACTAGCAGATGGAGTAGGTATCTATCTTAATATATAGTTAGCAGACTAGCAGATGGAGTAGGTATCTATCTTAATATATAGTTAGCAGACTAGCAGATGGAGTAGGTATCTATCTAAATATATAGTTAGCAGACTAGCAGATGGAGTAGGCATCTATCTAAATATATATAGTTAGCAGACTAGCAGATGGAGTAGGTATCTATCTTAATATATAGTTAGCAGACAAGCAGATGGAGTAGGTATTTATCTAAATATATATAGTTAGCAGACTAGCAGATGGAGTAGGTATCTATCTAAATATATAGCTAGCAGACTAGCAGATGGAGTAGGTATCTGTCTAAATATATAGCTAGCAGACTAGAAGATGGAGTAGAATCTTTCTATATATATATAGTTAGCAGACTAGCAGATGGAGTAAGTATCTATCTTAATATATAGTTAGCAGACTAGCAGATGGAGTAGGTATTTTTCTTAATATATAGTTAGCAGACTAGCAGTTGGTTGATCATTACCTTACAGTCATTCTCCATTTAAAGAGGGACATGATTGATTCCCTTGGTCTGGAGTATTATTATTTGTAAAAGAAATGCAGTTAATGGTTATTTGGTCTACTGGAGGTATTTACATAAATTGGGGCTTCAGCTCACTGACTTTTCAAATTAGAGAGGAAACGCCTGATACTTAGCGTGAAAATGTAAACAATGTTGAAAATCTTTTACTTTTCTTGATAACAATTATTTTTTGTGGAATCTTTTGAGAAACTCAAAGTAAAAAAGGGTAAAAAAGTGGATATATTTATTATCAATGTGCCGTACCATTTTATATTTCATTATTACTTAACTGGGAAAGGTGTGCTGTATATATTTCTGTAAACCTAGAAAAGGTGCTGTATATATCTCTGTATACCTGAAGAACGTGCTGTATTAATCTCTGTATACCTGGAGAAGTAGCTGTATATATTTCTGTATACCTGGAGAAGGTGTTGTATATATCTCTGTATACCTGGAGAAGGAGCTGTATATATCTCTGTATACCTGGAGAAGGAGCTGTATATATCTCTGTATACCTAGAGAAGGTGTTGCATATATCTCTGTATACCTGGAGAAGGAGCTGAATATATCTCTGTATACCTGAAGAAGGTGCTGTATTAATCTCTGTATACCTGGAGAAGTAGCTGTATATATTTCTGTATACCTGGAGAAGGTGCTGTATGTATCTCTGTATACCTGGAGAAGGAGCTGAATATATCTCTGTATACCTGAAGAAGGTGCTGTAAATATCTCTGTATACCTGGAGAAGGAGCTGTATATATTTCTGTATACCTGGAGAAGGAGCTGTATATATTTCTGTATACCTGGAGAAGGTTCTGTATATATCTCTGTATACCTGGAGAAGGTGCTGGAGTGGAGTGTGATCAGGAAAACTATGTTTGAGAGAACAATCAGAATAGTTACGACAAGGAGAATCAAAGAACGAGCAGTCTCCTGAAAACAATAGAATTCAAAGGTTTTAATTTGACAATTTATTTTTCATGCTCAAAGAATAAAATTCATTCAAACTGATCATAAAATTAAAAAAAGAAATGTGAGGGGGGCTTTGAGTATTTTTATTGGTTGCTACCTAATCAATAGCTCTAAGATTGCTCCATTAAGTTTAAATCTTCGAGTTAATCCATATTGTTAAGTTTTTAATTCGATAATAAGGAAATGAGAGAAAAAAAAAACACATTAACTTTAGCTATTAAGATAATATTGAGAGAATATTGAGATAATATTAAGACAATATTGAGATAATATTGAGATAATATTGAGATAATATTGAGATATTATTAGCTTACTCCAGTTATGAGGTCAGCCGACCATTATTCGTCACAAAACCCTGTCTTAAAAGGATTTCAAGTAAACCCTTAATTTAAATAGAGTATGTATGCCCTTAACCACCTCTGCGAGGGAAAAAATTTTAAACTCTTGGCTTGAGGATTTTTAACAGTTTTATTTTTCCATCATCCTGGTTTATCCCTTCTTTACAGATTGTATTATACTTTATAGATCGGCCTCTCTTGGATATTATATTACTTTATAGATCGGTCAGGTTTATAGATCCCATTAAATCCTACTCTCTTTCAGGTTTTCAATGTACCTGTCAAACCTTTTTAGGGCAGTATTTTTTCACATAGTGAGAACCAGAAAAATGTGGAATGCGAAGACGACATTAAAGCAATCTTTTAGTGTATTTGATTTGTTACAACCTTAATAGTTAAGAATTTTATTGAACGCTCGACTCTGAGCCGCTTTAATAATTGTAAATTGGCGGTACAAAGTAGGACTCGAAGGTTGGCCCAGCTCGTACATACACCGGTGTGGCGTGAACAGGGTCATGGCAGATATACAGGGGTGCTCTGTTAATTTTAGTTTGCAAAATAACTGTAATATCGCAATTTTCATGATGAAACTAAGTGCTTTTTCTCCCTGACTTTAAACAAGAAGGATTGCAAAATGTATAAATGTCGTCTTCATTATTATTTAGAAACTAAAAAAAAGGATTTATAAATTTAAATGATGCGGATTTTATCGATTAGAGATGAAAGAGATTGCAGGGGTCATATTTTTCATAAAACTATAGAACGTGACTGGAAAGGAAAAAGAATTTAGAAAGATTTTGATCTAGAAAATAGATATTGAAATTACGTCTATATATATATATTTAAATCAAAGGATTTTCTAGTGCATTTATCAGAGATAAATAAAATATTTACCAGTAAAATCGAAAAATATAAAATATTTTTAGATTTGAGGATTCTTGAAAAGGATTTAGTAAAAACACTGAAAATGTCATTTTTTATCGGGTATAAAAACAAATAGATATCTTCAAATAAAACTAGAAGAAATGTATAAAAAAAATCTAAAAATCTAAAAAACAAAAACATAACTTTGCTTTAACAAAAAACCTTGTTTATGGTGACATGGCATTTGTCATAGATTAATAACAATACAGATGGATTTAAGTTTTTCTGAGGCAGAAGCACAAAGGAGTTACACGCATGCTCTCTCTCTCTCTCTCTCTCTCTCTCTCTCTCTCTCTCTCTCTCTCTCTCTCTCTCTCTCTCTCTCTCTCTCTCTCTCTCTCTCTCTCTCTCTCTCTCTCTCTCTCTCTCTCTCTCTCTCTCTCTCTCTCTCTCTCTCTCTCTCTCTCTCTCTCTCTCTCTCTCTCTCTCTCTCTCTCTCTCTCTCTCTCTCTCTCTCNTCTCTCTCTCTCTCTACTTCTCTCTCTCTCTCTCTCTCTCTCTCTCTTATAATTCAACGCGGCATCCGCGAACTCCTTTGGCATCAGCCTCAGGGTTAATGTGAACGAAAACTCCTAAACCTTGAAAAGACGACATCTAGTTTTCTATCTGTAATGTTATTAATCTATTAATCTACGACAGTTAATGGTTTAAAGGGTTCTGTTGTGAATCTGGCATAATCTTCTCTGCATGGTAGGTCAATTCAACTTACAGTCAAAGGGAGTAGAAATGATAAAAAGAAACTAATTGAATTGGGAAATATACATTTCTTGATGTAAGAACGGGTTTTGGCTACTAACGAATATTTGTACCGATACTGCTAGCCCCCCCCCCCCTCCTACTGTACCGATACTGCTAGCACCCCCCCTCCTCCTCCTACTCTCTAATCTATCAAGAAGAAGAGGAATAGATCATTCATGATTCAATAAACTCTCCTTGTTAGGAGAAACCTAGTAAAATCTGGATAAAGGTCTGACATTTTATTCTTTTCTATTTATCACTGCATATTTATCACTACAGTAGACTCCAACCTGCAGTAGGCTCCATAATTTGGTAACCTACAAGCTACAGTAGGCTTAATTCAAACTTCAGTAGGCTCCAAACTGCATTAGGCTCCAAACTGCAGTAGGCTCCAAACTTTCGTAGGCTCCAAACTTTCGTAGGCTCCAAACTTCAGTAGGCTCCAAACTGCAGTAGACTCCAAACTGCAGCAGGTTTCAAACTGCAGTAGGTTCCAAACTTTAGTAGGCTCCAAACTTCAGTAGGCTCCAAACTGCAGTAGGCTCCAAACTGCAGTAGGCTTCAAACTGCAGTAGGCTCCAAACTGCAGTAGACTCCAAACTGCAGTATGCTCCAAACTGCAGTAGGCTTTAAACTACAGTAGGCTCCAAACTGCAGTAGGCTTCAAACTGCAGTAGGCTCCAAACTGCAGTAGGCTTCAAACTGCAGTAGGCTCCAAACTGCAGTAGGCTCCAAACTGGTGTAGGCTCCAAACTGCAGTAGGCTTCAAACTGCAGTAGGCTTCAAACTACAGTAGACTCCAAACTGCAGTAGGCTTCAAACTGCAGTAGGCTCCAAACTGCAGTAGGCTTCAAACTGAGGTAGGCTCAAAACTGCAGTAGGCTCCAAACTGCTGTAGGCTCCAAACTGCAGTAGGCTTCAAACTGCAGTATGCTCCAAACTTCGGTATGCTTCAAACTGCAGTAGGCTTTAAACTGGGGTAGGCTCCAAACTACAGTAGGCTCCAAGCTGCAGTAGGCTCTAAACTGCAGTAGGCTCCAAAATGCAGTAGGCTCCAAACTACAGTTACCTCCAAACTACAGAAGGCTCCAAACTGTGTTACATTCTAATAAACTCCACCTTTAAGTTTCTGTATTTGAGGTAATTGAATGAATTGAATACAAAACGAGCTGTTAATTTAGTTTGTTAATTTGTTGAATGATAAAAAGAACTAAATGGAATAATTAATTAAGCAGCCCGTAATTGTAGAATTGTATGTGTTGGAGGGGGGGGGGCATTAAATGTATGTAGATGTTCTAATTGATTGTGAAAAAAAATAGTACAGCTGCCATGATAAAACATGCTTGTAATTCCGTACAGTCGTCTTTAATGTCTCTCCTTTGTGTGCAGCCCATTACCAAAAATGACTCACGGCCACATACAGCCAATCTCACAGATAAGAATACATAGCAAGATCACACGAAATGTCGTCTTGAAATTTATTAGTACAGCTGTTATGCTATGTCATTGGTCTGCACAGAAAGAAAGCTACTGCTGAGATGTTTGCAGCTTCAAAGGGTGAATATAATTTAGGAAAATATTTCCAAATATTATTATAGAGTCAAAAGTTTTTAGATAATTCTTAAGAAAATGGTTTTTATCTTTAATTCAAGGTAAATTAACAGTCCTGAAATATGCAGGACAGCAACTGATATATTAAACTCGTTTTCCGCGGCATTTGATCTTAAATATGTTGAGAATACGACATTATCAAAAACTCTTGCTATGTAGTTATATATCTGGGATTCACTGTATGTCAAAAATAAAAGTTCAAACTGTAGTCATAAATTCAAGTAGCTTTCCATTTAAAAAATGACATTTCCGATTTACAAGGTTACCATTAGAACGTTGTCTGATACTTTACATTTAATTGATCATCATTGATTTAGGGGTATTATGAGATAGGCTTTAACGTTGTCTGATATTTTACACATCCTTGATCATCATTCATTTATTTTTTTCTTTCTAGGGGGGGAGGGCTCAGCACCCGCTGGGGCCTAAAATCAATAGATTTCATTGGTCCAGGGGGGACTTAGTCCCAATAGCCCCCCTGAATACGCCCTGGTCGCAACGACTTGGCCTTTAGTCTTACCACGCAAACTCATGAATACAATTTAAAAATGCTACGCTTCTGTTTCTGAGTTTAAAGTAATTGGCAAAATACTGCTCGATTTTTGTCAGAAAGCGTTCAGTGATTTACAGTTATATCTCCATAAATAATAACTAACCTGTAGATCTATGGAATTATCCTGAAGAACTTCAAGATAATTATCCTAATTATCCCAGCAATACATTAATCTTCATTATATAGATATAATATATATTGATATATAATAGACATAATATATTTCTCTTCCATTTTCAGCATTTTCCAGATAATTTTAAAATGTGATTTATCATTTTTGCATGTTCATAATCGACGGAAATATTTAGAAATTTGAACAAATTCCAATTTATTAAATTACAACAAAAGTTTTCAAATGTTTAATATCACCGTCAATTTTGTAGATACAAAGAAGGCAGACCACATTTTGGAATGACCAAAAGACATAAAATCTTTGATTTATACGACCTTTATATTTTTATCAACTATCGGAAATCCAAGAAAAAATTCAAGTGGTCTGTTCATTCCCATGTTTATCGGTACACCCTGTACGTACATACAGTACACCCTGTACGTACATACAGTACGCCCTGTACGTACATACAGTACACCCCGTACGTACATACAGTACACCCTGTACGTTCATCTATTTCCTATTAGTCAATAAAAGAAGTATATGATTGACACCAAGTAAGCTTTCAATCTAAAGTGTAATTTACTTTAGTTTAACGTGGTATAAGTATATCACCGTGATCTTTCCAGGCTAAATTTGTAGCATAAAACGTGCTGGGTCGACTCTACACTGGATAGCCTGACTGGACGGTACAACGGACTGAATGTACAGTACATGCAACTTTTAGACTTGGGTATTTAATACATTGCCGCCTGAAACCTCGAGGGGATGATGACAACTCTTATTCTCAATCCAAACTGGGGGCGGAGCTCTTTCTCCAACCACGCCCTCGCCCATTCTAGATAGATAGAAATATAGAAATATAGATAGAAGATAGATAGATAGATATATAGATAGATATATACAAGGGGACTAAGGGTCTTTAGAGTAGACTCATTTTTAATCGGATTTTGAAGATTGAAACCAATTTAAAATTTACGTACCCTTTCATAGATAGATAGATAGATAGATAGATAGATAGATAGATAAATAGATAGATAGATAGATAGATAGATAGATAGATAGATAGATAGATAGATAGATAGATAGATAGATAGATAGATAGATAGATAGATAGATAGATAGAGAACAAGGGAAAAGTTTATACTATCCATAAAATTGAGTTTTTGGTTTTATTGTGTAAAAGAGTTGAAGGGTGTTAAAAACTTTTTAAAAGTGACATTTTGACAACAGCTCCTTCTTTTCATACTTCAAACTAAACTCTGATATTAATCCACAAAGGAATTCTCTTATCAACAACTTTACTATTTAGTCAGAATCAGGGAGTAAGGAATAGAACTGACGCGGTTCGCCCTACCATATGATTATGCGTGCTTTGCAGACGGGTACTCCATTTGTATATGAAATATTCAGAATAGGTTATTGTATACGCGGTAATTGTACATCAGACAAATATTTCTTATACAAATGGAGTACTCGTCTGCAAAGCATGTATAATCATATGGTACGGCGAACCGCGTCAGTTATATCTCCCTTCTATTCTTTACTCCCTAGTCAGAATTCAGATATTAGCTTTTTAATTCTCACATTTAAAGGGAATCTTTTTGTAATTTTAAGTTAACCTCAAGTTAGATAAAGACCTTCCCGATCCAGCGCCCTTTAAACCTTTATTAATGCAAAAAGGTGGAAGATATCGTCACTTTTCTACCATCAAAAGTGTTTAATTTTTAGTATTTAGTATTCTCAAACAAAAATATGCAAGTCACTTTGGTAGAGAGAGAAGCCACAATTGAAAATATTGAATTTTCAAAGAGAAGATTATGGATATTTTATTCATACTTAAAAATTTTAACAATTTTCTCCTTATAGACGCAACAGATAGAAGTAAGATTAGTAGCGATCAAAAGCGCTTTTTTATCGCATTAAGCCTATACCCCCTTTCATTTTTCGCGAACACTCCCTTTAACCACTGGTTTCCAAGACTAATTTCGCCCCAAAAACATCCACCCATGGTAGAGTAAAATTCCCGTTTTACTTTCTTTGTAAAGGTGGTGTAATTGTAAATAATATAAATGATTACCTTCTTAGTATATATATTATTTATATAGTATCTTTAGGTTCGGTAAGAATCTGAAATCATTATGGTAATTGGTAATGGTAATGGTAATGGTAATCAGAAAGCCGTGTACAACATTGAAATAACATGAATAGCATTTTAACATGATTTTACTATTTATTGCTTATATCATTTTTCTTGTTTTAATAATCTTCAGGGTAACTCCGGTTTCGAATAAAAATTGCACGAAATTTCGATATAATTTCGCATTTAGCGCAAAGGATATTTTGTGCAAATTCGGAAGAAAATCTTGGGCTTTTCGTATTTCGTTGGTTCTTGCTATTTCGTTATTTCGAGAAATAATTTCAGGAAATAAATGCATTTTTCTCGCAGGGTTTCTTGCACACAAAGGAACTGAGTTTTTGTCACAAACTCTACTTTTCTAATCTCTTCTTTGCTACCAAATGTTGTAGACCTTAGATATTTCAAACTATGAATTCTGTTAGACCAAATAATTTAAGTTTGAAATATCAAAGGTCTACATCATCAGATTGCAAAGGTATTGAGATTAGACAATTTGAGTTTGTGACAAAAACTCAACTCCTTTAAGACAATTTTGTAATGAGTATAGGTCACAAACAAACAGACAGACAAGGAAACGAAATATGTACAATACATATCTATAGATTTATACAAAGACTAGAAATTCAAGGCGCTTCGCGCCCTTCTTTCTAGCCTTAGAGGGCGCTTCGCGCCCATCTCCTAAATTAATTGTGAACATGTTCTCTTTGTGTACATCGTAAAACAAAACAAAAATAATTCAAGGATTTTCACAAAAAATTTCGCGGATTTTAAAAATTTTTAAAAATTTAATGACGATCGAATTTTGATGGAGACAAATATTTGAAATTTTGATGATTCATAAACCTTCCCTGGAGTCCCTAGATGTCCCACAAAAAATTTGGGCCCGATCGGTTCAGCCGTTTTGACGTTTATTGGATACAAACAAACAAACAAACAGACAAACAGACAAGCCAAATTTATATATAGATAGATGTCATCAATAAGACTAAGATGCACCTCCAGTGGCACCTTTTTAGCGTTCTCCCAAAACATATTTATCATGACAAATTTTATTAATGAAAGAAACCAATATTTTAACAGTGTTTAAACTTTGAATTTGATAATAAGGAATTGAGTCTTTGCCACAAGCTTTGATTTTCTAATGTTGCTGACCTTAGATATTTCAAACTATGAATTCTGTTAGATCAATTAATCTGAGTTTGAAATATCAAAGGTTTACAACATCGGGCTCTAAAGATATTGAGGTTTAAATGTTTGATTTTGTTCCAAAGACTCAATTCCTTTGATTATTGTTTAAGAATAAAATACTGCAGATATGAAAGAATTGGTTTTTTTTTACTGAAACTAATTCAAATTTTATTTTTGCATTATCAATGATCATGCACCACATTGTGCAAAAACTCCAATTTTTCGTTATCATGAGCATTGCCAACTTTCGTGCAAAAACTATTCGTAAAATGTTGCAAAAAGTATGACTTAAAATCTATATTTATGCGTAACTTCGTGCAAAAAAATGTTTGTTTTTAAATAAAGATTTTGAAAATGAAGATGGAAGAGCTTTCTTCCATCTTTAATTTAATCCAGTAAGTGTATATTATACATAAACCCCAGTATCAATCTTGAAATTTGCAGATGTATATAAATATATATATATATTATATGTATAAATATATAAAGTTTTAATCTTTGTTTGTCTGTGAGTCTGTTTGTATGTTTGTCCGATCATAACTCAGGTATCCATTGAAAATGGGAAACTCGGGAGAACCACGGGTAAACGGCAGGAGTAACACAATGGTGGGTTCCCAAGCAAATACATATAATATGTTTAGATTTGTATTAAACTAATCTACTGATTTAGACAAGTTGAAAGCGTCGTGACAGAGCTTGAAATCTAAAAATATGTTTGATGAAGTCTATATAAATATTTTGTTTTATAAAACTGAGTACTTTTAAATTCCTGCAGCAGAGATAATGAAAAAAAAACAGCCAAATGTAAGCAAAATCAGTTTAACCATTTTAATGTTTATTGGGAATAAACAAACCTATAATGGGTTACATTGATCCTAGATTAAACTGGAGTAAGGACGGACTCCAACTACACTGAAGAGAGGACGGATTCCAATATACCGGAGTAAGTTTTGATTCCAACTATACCGGAGTAAGGACGGATTCCCTATACTGGAGTAAGGATGGATTCCAACTATACCAGAGAAAGGACGGATTCTAGCTATATGAGAGTAAGGACGGATTCCAACTATACATGAGTATGGGCAGATTCCAACTATACCGGAGTAAGGACGGATTCCTTATACCAAGTAAGGACGGACTACAACTATACCGGAGTAAGGACGGATTCCAACTATACCGGAGTAAGGACGGACTCCAACTATACTGGAGTAAGGACGGATTCCAACTGCAGGTTTCTCTCTTTCTCCGAGGATGTTAATTCCAAATACAAGAATTCTTCATGAAGAATATATTCTCATGTCGATATGATAAGTACGTGATGAAACAAAAAATAAATTTTGCCAAAAATTATAAATATTTATTTCTTTCCTATTTAATGTTAATGAATCAATGATTTGAAGGAATGGAGGAAATTTTCTCATGGTCTGTATGATCCGATGTGGGTCAGAATTTTAATAAAAAATTGAATACAATCAGAAGAAAATTTTTACTTTATGAATTAAAAAATCTAGTCCTGAAAATGTTTTCTGAAAGATCGTTGCAATGAGTGGTAAATCACTGTTTTCTTCATATTTTTGTTGCGGAGAGGGGGGATATAGCTTTGTATTGCTGACAGGTTTATGAAATAAAAATGGTAAAAACTAAATACCCCCTCCCCTTATATAAAATATTCTAGTTACCTCTCAGTACATATGGGGAAAAAACTTTCCACAGTAAAAGAACAAAATGGAAAACGTTAGAATTTATCGGTAAAAGTTTGAATGGGGATTAGGATTAATGATTAACTTAAGAAGAAGGCTAGTTGTCTACAGTGTTGGTACTGGTAGACAGGGTGGGGGGGGGCAAAGTACCCCCCCTTTGATGGAACTGACATTAAGTAAACCAAAATAAACATTAATTAACATAAAATGTAAAGGCCAATATTTATAAATGGCAGTAGTAGGCCTTTAGCTCCTGATTTAAACACAGTATTTTTCACAAATTAATGTATCGCTTCTAAAAAAAAATCGTTCTAAAAAAAATAGTATAAATTGAATAAATGTAACCTGACCAAATTTCATAGACAAAGTTAGATAGATTTATGCATTATACAAGACAAGTTTATGCATGAAAAAGTCCTAAAAAAATAAATCCATTTTAAACTTTGAAAGTTCTCGTCGAAGAATATTCCCTAACCAAACTAAATTTATGCCACAAACTTAAAATTTCTCATCCCTATATCCTATAACTTGGTGCTGTAAACCTTTGATTTTTCAAAATTAGACGATTTGATCATCAAAAGAAGACTTTTTTCAATAAGTGCCCGGGAATTTTAAAAACTCTTTGGAAAAAATTGGAATTTTGAAAGAAAATTTTTGAATTTTTTAGCCTATAACACCCCCAAGGTATCCATGGGTTCCCTCAAAAAATTTCAGCCCATTCGCTCCAGCCTTTTGGCCAGCTATTGTAAGCATACATATATATGAGCGAAGAGCTTTATCATATAGATAAAAAATATTTGATATAATTTCTGATCACTATTCATTATTTAGTCATAAAAAAATAATAGTAAAAGTCTAATTTCTACTTTTTTATTTTTAACCCTTAAATGAAAATAATTAGATCGTTCTATCAGAATCAATATTTTATTATTTATGTATTTGTATTTTATTTTTACTGATTAGCCAGCAAATATCATGCATATACTGATTAGCCAGCAAATATCATGCATATAAAAGTATAACAAAGTGTTTTTAATAATATCACTTCAACAGTTTTTTTATTTATAAGTAAATGCATTTAAAAATTTAGTACAATAAATTTATAGAATTTTGCCCATGATTTAAAATTTTTCAAGATTGCCTTTCAAAACGACGATTTTGAAAATCTTATTTACAATTTTAAACATACACTGTTCCATGTGTATCAAACAATGAGTCAATATTATCATCTCCATTTTTTTCACCAGTTTCTTTTTTCTCAGACAGATTCTTCTCTATCTTTACGCTGTCAGACTCCACGCTTGGCTGAGTGACGGGTGGCAAGTTCCTTTTTTCAACGCTAGGTGTAGTTACAGGCGGATGTTTTTGTTGAATTTTCGGAGACTGCATTTCTTCAATACTATTGTAAGACATCAATGGTCTCCTTCAAAAAAAAAACATGTTCATTATATTGTCATTTAAAAATTTCAACGGAATATTTACACTATTTTATCAACTTCAAAAGATCTAAACATTTGCCTCAAACTCGAAATTTTCTGATACTACATTTTTGCACCCAAATGGTGAAAACCTTGATATTTTAAACTTTAACTTTTTGATCTATCAAAATTCTTTGGGTAGATTAAGGCAAGTGTCGTCAGAAATATTTGTGCAATTCTGAAGTATTTCATTTTTTTGTGAACTTATGAAATGATATTTTAAGTTCTAATTCCTATATCTTTACAACCTGATGCAAATATCTTTGATATTTTTAACTTAGTTTTTTGAACTAGCAGAATGCGAGGTGTACTGCAATGGGTTGGAAAGATATAGGGATTATAAAATCAGAGTTAGTAGCAAAGACTCAATTACTTTCTAGGAAAGAGAATTTATGTCCCCCCGCCCCACTTTAATTCCATCTTGGGTCTTTTAACTCAGGATCCCGCCTCTGTAAGCATAAATACCTTCTTGGAATGCTGGGGCTCGGAGATCCATCCAGGGTTGGTGGAATCTTAGCTCTTGTAGCTCCAGTAATAGGAGGTCCACTTGGCTTAACCTTCTCCGGTCTTCGACGCTGCGTACTTGGAGTTTCAATCCCAACCTCCATTCTACGCGGCTGTGTAATAGGGGTTCTTAGTCCGGCCTCAAGCAGCCTCCGTGGCTGTGCGCTGGGGGATTCGACCCCAGTTCCCAATCTTCGAGGTTGAGGCAAAGGACTGCTAGGTCCTGAGTCCAGATTTACCTTGTCAGCATTCGCTTGTTTCGCAAGGTCAGAGCGGAGACTGAGGCTGGTCAGAATGGATTCCTGTTTCGCCAACTTTCTTCTGGTTTTTCCAGTTCCTGTTTCCTGGATACTCTCCTCGGAGGTGTCTGAACCCCTCCTGTCCATTCCAGGGGTTTTAAGGGGATCAAGATCAAGATCACCAGATATTGTTCCGATTGATCCAACACCTGACTCTTGACTCCTGCGAAAAAAATAATCAATTATAAAACAATCAAAGTTGATCAATTAAGATTAAACAGACTGTCAATTGAAGGAGGCAATAGTCCGATTCACTGTAGCACACTATGAGCCTTTCTATGAGTATAACAAGAAAAAATGGTGTCGCTGCAAAAAAAAAAATCCTCAAATAACCCTTAAAAATGATCAATTTTTAAATAAAAAACAAGGATATTAAGCCCTTACACAAGTTTAAAGGAAACCGTTGTGAATAGTATGTGTAAGTTGACAGTCCCTTTAATTTAATCCGAAATGTTACCTATGAGAACCAGATAGGGATTCAAGAACCCCCTCTTTAACCCTCTCCTCCTCTTCCTCTACTCCACGCTCTGTGATCCATGATGTTCGGCTCTTAGATCGTTCCTCCTCCTCAAATATTAGTTTTATGTAAAATTTTGCGTTATATAATCAAAGCATACTTTTACATCATACAACTTTGAGAAGATTTATAAACATGTACTGTGTAGTATCCATGTATGAGTAGAGATGGGCGTCTTCGTAAACGAACGAAATTTCTGCGTTGTTCAGAAAACTTACCGAGCGATGAACGAATGTATGAAATCGTTAAGAGAAAATAAAAAAAAAACTATATGGTTATTGAAAGCGAATAAGAATAACGATAACGAACAATTTTAAACTCTAATTGGTCAGCCAGAACGAACTTGAAAATAACGATCGTTCTTTTGCCCAAAAGAGCGATTTTTCGAACGAACTAGCTTTTGAAGAGAAAAAAAACTCGCGTTTGTTAGAGAACAACTGAAAAAAACAATCATTTTTTCGAACGAACTATGTATCATTTGTACAGAATGAACTATCTAATTAAACGAACATTTTTAAAAGGGAGGGACGGGGGAAATGATTTTCCGTATTTTCAACATTTATAATGTTTTCACCTCATTTTCATGGAACAGTTCAAGAACACGTTCCTTGAGCAAACTTCCTCGCCGCCGGTCAGTCTCAGGGAACAAGGATTGCATGGAAACCCGTCTAGTATAATTATTATTATTGTTATCATTATCATTTTTATTAAAAAATAAATTAGAACTTTATGAAATCCACGAAATTTACATCAAAAATTATCAGTAAAAAAATTGCCGAAATTTCTCAAAAAAGTATTTGTTTTTAACGATTAAAGATCTGTTGAAAAGATCGATGTGCAAGTTTTGATTTTCTGACATGCAATTTTTTAACCGATAAATTCAGGTTTCCCATCTTGGACTTGAAACCCAAACCAGAGCCTTGTATTTCAAATGAAAATAATTGATTTTTTGCCGCAAACTCAAATATCCTATAAACCCCTTTATACCTTTAATATTTCCTATCTATCTATATGAAAAAGCTCTTCGCATATATATATATATGAGCGAAGGGGTTCCCTAGCAAAACGGCAGGACCAAATTGGAATTTTAATTCAACGGGCCACGCCGGGCACTTGAACTATTGTATGAATTTCGTTGGAAGTGAGATAACATTTAGTTGTTTTATTATTTTTTATTATTTTTTCATTATTTTGGGAGGAATATTTATTTATAAATGTTTTCCTGTAATCATCTTCATCAAACTCTGATTGCAATTCATCTTCATTTTTCTCATAGCTTTCATTGTTAACTCCCTCCTGCTCCTCTTGTTCCTTTAAACAAACATTAAAGAGAATGCTCCCGAAAATGAAAGAGGGGCAATGTTGATTCTATCATATATTATAATAGGTTTTACCGGATTACTAAATAGATCAATTTTAGTTAAGCACCGAAAAATTTCATTTGTTTTATACATCATAATGCCTTCCATCTATTACTATTGAAATTAGGTATGTACGTAACCCTAAAGGGTTACGTAAAAAAGATGAGAATTTAATGACGACCTTAAAATCCGTCAGAAATCACGGTCTAATGGTTAAATTCAAATTTCTGTCATAAATAATGTTTTTTATTGGTATGATAGATGAATTGGTAAAAAGAAACCTGTTTACAGTTGTACGGGAATGGAAAATTTAAATTACTTAATACTTTATGTACATTATGTACATTGTGCAATCATCTCTGAAGTCTTATCCTTTGTGGGTAACCCTTACAATGTAGACATAACTGAAAAACTTTTTGAAACTGAAAATTGTTTTATTTACCTGCTGCATTTTTAATATCTCATTAGCAGCGTAGATTTTTTCTTTTTGTGACAGTTTGCTAGATTTTCTGAGAAAATAAAAATAATTTTTTTATAATTTCTATTTTATTTTATTTTGTAATTTTATGTTTTTATAATTTTCTTTCCTTTAAAGGGAGTGTACGCTTAATTTCAAGTGACCTTTCATGCAAATATGACAATAAAACCTTTATCTGATCTATAATTTGGAAGATATCGTCGTTTTTTAGAGTTAAAGGAGTTTAGTTATTTATATTAATTATATATATGTTTTCCTGCAGTAGAAATGCACAAGTCACATTTTAAATCAATTAGAAACTTTCTTATCTAATTTATACTTGATAAGACGAAGGGCATTGTCATTGAAGTGTCACTTAAAATTGCGCAAACAGTCCCTTTAAGTTGACAATTTCATTTATATCTTTATATTCTATTTTATTCGTACTTTTAAGAATCTAATCTCTCCATTGTTTTCTTGGATTTCATTTCTGGTAAATTTCAATCATTTTTTATAGATTTTTTCTCAAGAACAGATATCTTATAGTTCGAAACGATTATTTGAAATTATATCTTATCAACATTGAATTAACAATTTTAACATACACTATTTGAATTCTTTTGCATTGTTTGAATATTAAAACAACAAACTTTCAACGTTAGTTTAAAAAGTTTAATTTTTACCTACTCCTTGATTCATGTTTATCCTTGGAGTCAATTCCACTCATTTTACGGATTTTCTCATACAGGGAGAGCTGAGACCGATGCTGGGACTTTCTAAACAAATACAACGTTAAGCAAAACAAAAAGATTAAAAAAACATTGTGTGTAACCAAGGTTATAATGCAAGGAAAGTTAATTGCAGTTGCGTATACTATGCGTACATATTGAAAACAGTTCTCTCTGGGCGGAATTTGTAAACAAGGATAGATGCATCAGTGTTCGTTTAGTATCCGAGGAGGTTAAAAGCATTAAATTTTGATAATTTTGATAATTCACATAATAGTTTCCTATGACCAGAATATTTCATTGATTATTTATGTGAAATATGGATGTCAGGCTGTAACATCCGTCTTGTGTTTACATTATCGCCCAGAGACAGTACACTGCAGTACAAAAGATGCAGACACCTCTGAAATAACTTTCCTTACATTATAACCTTGGTTTACATCAAGTATTACGGCATAATATTATTTTTATTTTAAACTAGTTTTTTCAATCAATTTTCAGTTTTTTCAATCAATAATTACCACAAATATGTTTTTATACAGAGATTGTTCACCAGCTTAAAAATACAACTACATAATAGCCCTATTTTCTTATAAATTTTATACAGAGATTGTTCACCAGCTTGAAAATACAACAACTTAATAGCCCTATTTTCATATATTTTCTTATATTTTCTTATATTTTCTTATAAATTTTGTTTATTTTATTCAGTAATTTCTGCTTGAGAACATTGTTTATGTCTGCATGGATTTGAACATTATGGAAAAATATTTGGTTGTTTTTTGTAAAGTTTACAAACAGAGCTGAAATGTTTAAATTTGCCCCAAAATCTTAGCAAACCCTTTCAACAAATTTAGTACGATTTTACTGTAAAACTGTGGAATTGATTGTCGTTCTCATTCATTCTATTAACTAGAATTTCTGAGTTGCATATAATTAATTTTTTAAAATGTTCTCTAAAATATTTGAGAAATAAATCAGCTTAAACAATTGAAAATAACCAAATCCCTAATTTCTTTTCATGATTAGAAGAAAATTAAGAAGACTAATGGGTACCACTGTATATAATCTCACCTATCTAAATTATGTCCAAAGTATGTTGAACTGCTAGAGACAGATCGATTCGACCTAAAAATCGATTTAAAATATTATTTGAATTATAGATTATAAAAGATTAAATTATCTATCTACCATTTCATATTTCAATTTTTTAAATGTCTGTAAGAAATAATTAACAATAGAGACTTTTATTAGGATTAAACCGTTTTCAATTTAAGAATCTTCTAAAAAATCTTAATTCGTGAGAATTAAAGATTTGGATTTAAATTTTCTTTAGATAAGTAGTTGGTTAAAAAATTACGAATTTCTAAGAAAAAATATTTGGAGAATTAGTCCTTTTTGCTAATACTAGGGTTCTAGGGCGCTTCGCACTCAACTTCTAATTGTGGCTTTGTCTGAGACTGTAAGCATCTTCTCATTGTACAGTATAAAAAAATTTGCGGATCTCATAATATTTTTTCGCGCATTTTCAAAATTTTACAAAATCAAATAATTTAAGATAAAAACACTCTAAGAATACATATTTTAAGTTTGATGGGCCATAAACCTTCCATAGGGTCACGTGAGGTCCCACACAAAATTTGGGCCTGATCGGTTCAGAAGATTTTACGTTTATGGATACAAACAAACAAACACCCAGACAGACAAGCTAAATTTATTTTGCTAATAAGATCAGAGTTCTGAAAAGGAATTGATTCTTTGTCACAAACTCAGATTTTCTCTTCCCTATATTTTTGCAACCCAATGTCGTAGACCTTTGACATTTCAAACTATGACTTCTATTAGATCAAATAATATAAGTTTGAAATATCAAAGGTTCACGATATTGGGTTCCAAAGATAGAGGGTTTAGAAAATCAGAGTTTGTGGCAAAGACTCAATTCTTTTGCTTCAAATATTGAGCCCTGGCATACTTCAAATTGTTGACATAGCCTTTGTTTGTGGTTTAAGCTTTTTATTTACAACCCCCCTCCCCTAAATCTTTCTTGGAAGTCTTTGATACAATGATTTTATTTTTAAACTAAAGGTCTTGTTTCTAGTCTCAGATTTCAATGATTTTTGGCCGGAATAAGAATAGATGAGCTGTTACTTTAGAAAAATGACACAAAGAGAGAACAGTCTAGGAATTTACCTCATGGACACGTTCAGACTTTTTTGTATCGTATTTTCAGTTCGTTTCCATTTTATAACCGTAATAAGATAGAGAACAGTCTAGGAATATACCTCATGGACACGTTCAGACTTTTTTGTATCGTATTTTCAGTTCGTTTCCATTTTATAACCGTAATAAGATAGAGAACAGTCTAGGAATATACCTCATGGACACGTTCAGACTTTTTTGTATCGTATTTTCAGTTCTTTTCCATCTGATAAACGGCGTTAACGGAAGATATTTTAGACACCGTTTAAGGTGCCAGCTTTAACGTGCCATTAATAATTATTTAATGTAAAATAGCCAGGGAAGTAAGAAGAGGACACTACAAAACATAAAAACGCGTAAAAAAAGGAAAATAAATACCTCATTGATGCTACAGACTCTAATCTACTCTTCTTCTTCTTAACCCATGAGAACCTGGCAGCACCAAAAGGAGTTCCAACAGATTCATAATCACCATACTCTCCATACGCATATTCACCATCAGCTAGAATCAAAGTTTTTCATTAAGGTTAGATACTCTGGATGCGCTCAAATGTATGGAAATTGTCGTCTTCATAGCAATAGTCAATCAAGGCGGTAAATAATAGTGCTTTCAAGGCACATTCAAATTCATTATTTTCAAAACTGAAAGTTCTTAATCTTGATAATACATACAAACTTAGTGTTCTGACATTTATGCATTGATACTGTAATGATGATCATCCCTCCAAAATATGTTTGAGTCTTTAGCTGAACCGAAGAGAACAAAATCATATAAATTAGAGCGGGTTCTAAAGTAAAATCTAGAAGGCTTTCCGTCCGCAATGTTTCCTAAATTGTGGAATCTGATTAAGTGAAATGGGTCTGTTTTCCCTGCACTAATGATGTGCTCAATGTGTTTTGGACTGTTTAAAAAGTCTAAGTCTGATAGTTGTCTTTCTATGGGTCTTGCTGTACTAAAAAACCTCTGAGCCGATAATTTAAGAGAGTATCGTTGAATGAAACTCCCATTTTCTTTATTGAAGTCTTTGCATTTGCATAGATTTTAATTTAAGAAATCAGAAAACAAGAAGAGAATGTAAAGAAATCACATAAAATAGTATTTACTAACCAAAATATTGGTATCTACAAAAATGCCTTACCGCATTAATGAAACTGGGTTTCCGATACTGGGTTTTATTACGTACTCTGTCTTAAGTTTCAGTCTCTGACCTGAATCACTATGATGAGCTGTATCCCCTCTTTCAGGATGAGCCGCACCGTATGTTGTTGAGGATATTGATCTATTCCCGTACTTTCGGTTGCTGTACACATATCCATACTCCTGAACAGCAGTGTAAACTTAGATAAATCTGAATAGAACTAAAGAGAGAGTTTCTGTTTGCATGTCATTTGTTAAAACCAAAAGTCCAAAAAACCTAAAGTGTTTTAAAGAACCAAGTTATTACCCCAAATTTTTAAATGAGTCCTGGACTTACCTTGTCACAATCCTTGATTTGTAAAGTTCTTTCTGCTGAGCCCTGGAATTCCTCTTTCTTGAATTTCTCTGCGGCTATGGTGTAGGGTATCTCCTTGGGGATACTGTCATCCCAATAATGGTCCTGCACCAAACCAAACTCTCTTAAAACCGGTTTTAAATCAAAAATCAAAATTGCGCAACGCCCAAAAAATTATGTTTTAAATTGAAGAAATTGTCGATATAATTGATAAGATTAAGATTTCATGATATTATATATTTTTGATTAAATTGAGTGAGTTGATTTCCTTCATCAGTTCAGGAATTGTTTCTTGTTCGATAATCAGGTATCCAACCTAAACATAGCATTAATAACATACAGTGATCATCTTCATAAACCTGAACATAGATCATTAATATACTTCATGATCGTCGTCTCAACATCATTATTATTGTTATCGCTATTATTTTCCTCATTATCACCAATGTTATCATGATCATCATTGTCCATAACAATATCATTATCATCACATTATAATAATTACTACCTGAAGGGCCCGGCGTTGCCTGTGGAAAAAAAAATTTAAAACCTATTTTTTGAAAAAATAATTTTCGATTTTTTTTAGTCTATAAACCCCCCGGCCACCCATGAGTGTCCAAAAAAAAATTTGAGCCTAATCAGTCCAGCCGCTTGGCCAGCTATAATGTTTTGTTTTATTATATAGATTCTAATTATGATCATGATCATAATCCACGCTGATCATCATCATCATAATCACCTGACAATGTCTATCAATGAGCCTGTTGAGCTCGAAATCATCATCATCTTCACCAAAAGGATTTATCAGGGTTTCGGCAACCTGCACAAGCAAGTATAAAATGTCGTCTTCGTAAAAATAAATTTCAGTTTTATTTGTTTAGAAAGCTTAAAATTTTAAACATCAATAAAGCAAATAATAACTCTCTTTTCTACTTAAACTCTTGATTTTCTAGGATTTTAAATTCAAAGCAAACAAAAAACATAATGTTGCAATTAAAGGAACTGTTGATGTTGTTTTATGTGACCCTTTAATTATTTTGCATGTCTGATGTACAAAGGTACAGGGTGTCCCACAAAAAAAATAACAGTTGGTGAATATTTTGAATGTCTTCTTCCATCTACTGTACTAGAACTAGATTTTAAAGAATTTTTGCAGTTTAAAAAAATTTTTACTCGAATTTGTGATACTTTATTGAAATCAATCTAGAACAGTTCTGCTATATATAACTTTTAATTTTTTTTTTGGTATCAAACAACTTAACAAATTATGGAAGAAGACATTTTAAACTATGTTTCGTGAGACACCCTGTATTTCATGAAGCAGAGACATGGAAGAAAACAGAACAGATTTCCTTTCTTCCCTCATTTCTACTCCGATCAAGGTGTAAAAGATTTCGAATTGTGAATCATACATGGAACTCTTTGAACAAAAAGTAATTTTTAATCACGTCATGGAAAATACAAGAAAATACATAAAATTTTGTCTTGAAATCTATACATATGTACCTTAAGCCAGCCGAAGAAGAATATAAACTGTACAGTAAGGAAGATAGGATAGTACAGGTCTAGGCGTGTACCGGTGGGTCCGGTTGGTAGATTGTACGCAGTTTTATACGCCTTGTTAGATTCAGGGTTTATCCATTGAGCTCCTAAACTCTTACTTGTCAATTCTAAACTATTGTACCACGACATCTATTGCACAACGGCAAATTTAAAGGACTTTTAGACATAATTTTAAGTGACCTTCCCACGTGGATTTAACGGTTCTGTCAATATTTCAGAAAGCTGTGACTTTCGATCATAATTTGACCCCTATACATAATATTTTAGCCTTTTTTCTAAATACTTTTTTTGTCGGCATATAAGCTTTGCATGAAAGAGTATTAAATAAAAGAATCCATAAGTCAAAAGGTTGTTGAATTATAGACCAAAATACGTTTGATTTCAAACAAAAGAAACCGAATGGTTCTCACTCTAGTTAGTCCGATGAGTCCGATGCTATACTGTTTGAACTACCTACGTTTGAACTATTGTTCATTTGGAATATTGTTCGTTTGAACTACGCACGGTACGTACATGAGTAGTTCAAACAACCAATAGTTCAAACGAGTTTGTTTCATACTCATTTGAACAATTTTTTTGTTTATTTTGTTCATTTGAACTATTAACATAAAAGTTCATATGACCCTTAAAAATAGTGCAAATGAACAAAAAATAGTTCAAATGAAATGAATGAAATGAAAAACGATATCTTTTTTATTTATTGCTCAAATCATAGTGTAAAGTGTCTGCTGCCAATCTGGTTTGCAGTTGCAGGTAAACGCAAAAAAGTTCTTTGAAAAAGAGTTTGCGGAAATAAAGTACTAAATTTTGGCACTAAAAAAGTCCTGTAGAAAAACAGTCCTTGAAAAATAAGGCTCTTGAAATAAAGTCCTAATAAGACTTTTTCTGGTTCCAGTATGATTTCATACAAAAAAAGTCCTCTTAAGTGGAAAATGCATGGGAACAAAAGATGTTTGCAACCATGGAAAAAGGGGATATTTAAAATTTATAAAAACTTCTCAGAAAACATCATTTTCCAAAGAATTTGTTTTCTTCGGATATATTTTCTTCAGGACTTCTAAATCCCCTGATCTTATTTCCTGTGACTTTATTTAGGAAAAAGTTCCAGGAATCTAAAACATAAGGACTTTATTTCCAGTGAAATTTTTTCTAGGACTTAATTTTACCCATTTTTTATTTTACCCATTTTTATAAATTTATTTGTAAATTGACACATGTCATTCCTATAAGTGCAGCACAGAAGTAAGAGTACACAGCTAACGTCACAACCTGCAAAAGAAAGAAAAATTAGTAAATAATTGAATACAATTCAGGACACTGTATAATATCAATTTCGTATTTCAACTGCAAACTAAAACTAGAATTTTTTTTCTCTAAAATATTTGATTTTAACGTTCAAATTTTGGTCCTGATCAAGATGTTAACAGGCATAAAGTTTTTTTTACCGTAAATAAGAAAAAGGTATGGTGAACCCATGGATAAAGATAGATTGCGCATAAGACGACATTTTTCATCTTGAAAGATATAAATGCACAGAGATGTTTTAAAGATATTCTTATTATATAAATTAACTAGGTCGGTTGTGAACATTGGCTGTTCTTATGTCTTATGTACTTGTGGTGTACATGAGTTCTGTAGAGAGAAATTTAAGTTAGTGTAGTCCTTCTCATGTCCTTCTTCAGTTCTCGTCAATATAATATATTGCTCAGTGAAATATTGTTGTTTAAATAGTTCCATTCCCGGAGTTATTTTACACTCTATTATGAAATCCATTAAAACACCAAATCATTAAAGTACACTTTGACCCCTAGAAGTATAAGTTCGCGGACTGTACAATTCTTGGTGATTTTGCGTACATAAGCTATTTATCTATGGGTGAACCTAACCTTATCTATTTAATCTAAAATAATTATATATTTTTCCGTTGAAAATAAGACAGATTGAGCAATAAAACTAAACATATGATTTCTATTAATTCTCAACGGAAGGAGATTTAATAAAATAATTTATACTGAAATCTAAAAAAGTTTTGTGTTTTTCCTCTCAAAGAATACATTAAATTTGGGTTTCCCTATTACACAGAGTATTTTGGGCAGCGGCCAATATGTTTTACTTGCGAATGCCGCAATGAATTATAAGACAGAGAGAGAGCCAGTCGCGGCGCTCGGCCCCCTAGCCTGTCCCAGCCGCAGCGCGCGGCCTAGAAAGTGTCTTAACCTAACCTAACCCTAAAATATATACTAATCTCTCTCTTCTTATAATTCATTGCGGCATTCGCGAGTAACAGAGTTTGGCCGCTACCAGTATTTTGTAGTGAAGAAGGAAATTGCCAAAATTTATCACTTTTAAGATAGAAAAACAAAGATATCCTCTGCATCGTTACTCAGATAGAGGTTTAAAAAATCCAAGTACTGTAAATAGAATATCATCCCTGGTAAAAAGATGATAAATTACCATGATGCAATGAAAGCACTAATGAGATTAGGTACAGGGGGTCCCAATAAACGTGGGAATTGAAAGACGACTTGAAAATCGTATTAATTTATGATAATTGATAAATGACAAAGCTTGTATAAAAAAAGGCCGTGGATATTGTGAGCTGTTGTTAAAGTGGTCGTTAACAATTTTTGTATTATCAAAATTGACGTTTACACAATTCTGTTGTTATTTAATTAATTTGAATCTGGAAAAATCTGTCAATATCTCCGTCAATTTTAAAGGTGCAAAATGGGAAACAACATTTTGGGATTCTCAAGACCGGTTCCGCTAGTATATAATTGGGTATTTATTGGGACAACCTGTATTATGCTCAAGCTTAACAAAAAATGCCCACGCCTGGATGCTTTTGTCAAATCTGCAGAAAATATATTTTTATAATTCATCTTAGTCTTGGTCGAAATCCGCCATGGAGAGATGAAACTCACAGATAGGACAAAAGATTTTGAAGTTGAATATTTTGAATTATTTTTTTTTACAAATGTCACGAGGATTTTAACTTGTATCTATAAACTATAAAGTAAAAAGTGTCCTGAGCAGTGAACATTTTACTAAATATTTAGCAACATTTCATAAAGGAAAGAAAGAACAAATACGACATTCTCTTTACAGATTTCTGACTCTCACTGTAAACAAGAAATAGTTCTGATCATATTGATTCCGTTAAGAAACGAAATATTTTCAATTTTAACGGAAAATTTCGTTAACTAGCGCGAGCGGACAGAATTGTTATGTTATAAGTAAATTAAGCTTGGAAACCCAGCTTTCTCTAAATATTCAACACACTCAACTTTAACATGCTAAAAAAAAAGGTTAGAACATTCCCATGGTTCTATAACGAGTTCCTCAGTCGCAATTTTGTGCAAATCGGTCAAGGGGTAGCTGAGTTATGATCGGACATACAAACAAAGAAACAGATATGCCTATACTATCTTGGGAACACAGCGTCAGGAAACTTATGGTTACTCCCGCCGTTTACCCGCGCTTAGTCTTAAATTACGATTTTATACCCTAAACACGAAGCAAAGAAAATTTACGATTTCTTCCGGGTTCCCCGATAAATTTGAGGCAAATCGGTCAAAGGGTTCATGGATTTTGATCGGACATACAAACATAAAAATAAACAGTGATTACAACTTTATATGTAAACATAACAACGAGACGTTATTTGAATTTTATGGTTCGGTTTTTAGCTTGGGCATGGGGAGATGCAGAAATTAGGATTAAAGGAAACATTAAACAATGAACAGTGAACACATTAAATCACAAATCAGTAACCTCAACCAAATTGTGAAGGGGTGGGGGTGGTATGGAGGGATCCCCTTTAAAGCTCCCCTCTCCCTGAAAGGGTAATGTTTAAATTCTCTATATTTTTCTTCTCCAATCTTCTATGCTTCTCGCCCTTTTGTTTAAAATTTAGTAACTGAAGATGAATTTACTGTGCTTAAGCTGGGTTTTCTGAACTTAAGTTGAGTATAAACTATACAAATTGTATGCCCTTTGGATCGAAAACTGTGTGTGAGAATAGGTCACTTTCTACAGTTTATAGCATACCAGTAGTTTATCTTTGAACAACAAGGATTCTAAATAATCGAGGATGCTGCTCATGCTGCAGGTAACTTTTGTTCATTAAACGAGAAATTAAAATGATGTCACATCAATTGTATTATTTTGATTTCTTCCTCTTAAAGCTTATTGATATTCACAACACTGTTCTTCAAAAGCTAGATTTTTGATTGATTTAGAAGGGAAATCAATTTTTCAAGATATTTCAGAAAATATGTTTTATTAAAGGGACTGATAGCGTGATTTTAAGTGAGCTATGTCCCACTCACAACGGTACCCTGGAGTCCTTCATCTGATCAATAACTTGGAAGATTTTTTCGTTTTTCCGGGTTTAAAAGTGTATAATTCTGAAAATTCAAACAATTTTTCTCACACTTGAAAATAATTATTGAAAAGTACAAACATTCATTTCTAATTCAAGCTTGATCAAAGCTTTTAAGTGTGCGTTGTGAATCGGGAATTGCCATCTTGGCATGATGAATCCAGGCCCTTTAATCCTTCGATTCTAAAATCCTTGGCTCGCAGTAATTTGAAATTCTATCTTGGGTATAAAATCACTAATTATACTCACTACTCAGCCCTGGGTACTTTGGGGGTTCAAACCAATACAAAGAGAAGGAGTGGGGAGGGGAGGAGAGGGGGATAGGAGGAGAAGGAGGAGAAGGGAAGAGGGGTATGGTAAATAGTTTAAAGATTAAAAATATCAATAGTTGGTAAACGTAAACGTTAAAACTGTTTGTTAGACCAATTCAGTTAAGTTTTATTCCATTTTATTTACAATATTAATACAGTGAGACCCATATAACTATGCAATAAGAAGACGACTGTTAGACACAATTAATGATTTTAGAAAATCCAGTGAACATAAATCATATAACTTGTGCAATGCACACAGGCCCATTTTACTTCTAAGTTTATATTAATACATATATATATAATAATTTAACATTTTCACTGCCTCGTAGTCATGCATAAAGGGGGGGGGGAATGAGGGAGGGGATGAGGGAAGAAAATTAGGCTGTGAGGAAAATGAGAGAAGAAAATTAAGTGGGGAGGAAAATGAGGGAGGGGGTGTGGGAAGAAAATTAGTTTGGGAGGAAAATGAGGGAGGGGGGATGAGGGAAGAAAATTAGGTTGGGAGGAAAATGAGGGAGGGGATGAGGGAAGAAAATTAGGTTGGGAGAAAATGGAGGGGGGGGGAGCGACAGAGGAAGAGGGAGAAGGAAAAAGTGAAAAAGCAAAACTGTAAAAGATGGATGAGGGGGTCGGTTGTTAAGTCTTGGGTGGTCTAGTTTAGGCTCTGTCTTGGATCTCTAAACTTACAAAACCTGTACTTTCTTAACAGAGTCAGAAACTTAAGAGCATTTTTTTAAACCCAGTTACGAAAACTGAGTTTCATAATATTTGTTTATTTAAATCAATTTTGAAGAAAAAAAGAATTATTTTCTTTTTTCTTTTTTATTTGTTAAAATAAAATCAACACAGATTTATATAATGTATTTTCCCCTCTACTATTCACCCTAGTATAGTGTGATATAATGTATTTTTCCTTACTATGCCTGTCCTTATACTTCACCACTTTTCTTAACCTTCTTTTTTCTCTTCTTTAAAATTACTTTGTGCTTTCTGTTATAAAGTAAAGTTATTTGTTAATTTCAAAAAATAACATTTATGTATAAAACTTTGGAGAACACTGTAACCTAGAAATGGAGGAATTATCAAAATTTAACATTGAAACCCAGAAAACATGAAGGAATTATCAAAATTTAACACTGAAACCTAGAAAACATGGAGGAATTATCAAAATTTAACACTGAAACCTAGAAAACATGGAGGAATTATCAAAATTTAACACTGAAACCTAGAAAACATGGAGGAATTTTCAAAATTTAACATTGAAACCTAGAAAACATATAGGAATTATCAAAATTTAACATTGAAACCTAGAAAACATGGAGGAATTATCAAAATTTAAGACTGAAACCTAGAAAAACTGCAAAATTGTCAACATTCTTGATCAGATAAAAGATACCGTTGTGAATCGGACAGTGCCATCTGTACAAAGATGAAGGAGTGACACTTCAAATAACGTATATACATAATAGCTATAAATTAAATAATTATAAATATACAAAGAGGACCGGGAGTACAAACATGAATATTTACCATGATGACATTGAACCCACATCAAAAATAAAATTAATCAACGATTTTATTTTAGTTCATTGTAAAATAAATTTGTTCCTTAAAGGTTTGGATCATCTTTTATATTCCTAGTATGTTTTTGCACTGGAAGGGGGAACTTTTTACAAGAGTAGTCCAATAAATATTTGGAATATACAGACATCTGCCTTGGTTTTAAAGGTACATCATTAAAAACGCATAAAATCTAATGTTGTAATCCTATTCTTTAGTTTTTTGGGTCTCCTTGTAAGAAATATGCTTTCAATTGTACCTTTGCACTTTGAACTGTTGCATTTCAAAGTGCAGTTAAATTATGCAATTGTTGAGGTTTAAACAGTAGTTGGAACATGAGAACTATTAATTATGATGGAGTCAGGGGCAACCTAATAATCAACTAAATGTGCAAACTGAAACTTTAAGTTTAGCAGTTTTACTAACTCAATTGTCTAACCTCTCATTGGCAGAATCTGAAGACTTTTTAACCTATCATTGGCTGAATCTTAAAAGGCTTTTTAACCTCTCATTTGGCTGAACCATCAGGCTTTTTAACCTCTCATTAGTTGAATCTTAAGGCTTTTTAACCTCTCATTGGCTGAATCTAAAGACTTTCTAACCTTTCATTGGTTGAATCTTAAAAATGTCTAACCTCTCATTGGCTGAATCTGTAGACTCCTAACCTCTCATTGGCAGAATCTAAAAACTTTCTTAACTCACAATGGCTGAATCTGAAGTCTTTCTAATCTCCCATTGACTGAATCTGAAGACTTTTCAATTACTCCCATTGGTTGAATCTACAGACTGTCTCACCTCTCATTAGTTGAATGTGAAGACTTTTTATCTACTTTTTAGCTGAATCTTAAGAATTTCTAATCTCTTCTTGACTGAGTCTTAAGATTTTCTCACCTCTCATTTGCTGAATCTAAAGTCTTTCTAATCTCTCATTGGCTGAATCTAACAACTTTCTACCCTCTCATTTTGAAGCTCTCATTAACTTCTCATTGGCTGAATCTGAAGTCTTTCTAACCTCTCATTGACTGAATCTGAAGACTTTTGAATCACTCTTATTGGTTGAATCTAAAGACTTTTTAACCTCTCATTAGTTGAATATGAAGGCTTTTTATCTACTTATTAGCTGAATCTTAAGAATTTCTAACCTCTTCTTGACTGAGTCTAAAGACTTTCTCACCTCTCATTGGTTGAATCTTAAAAATGTCTAACCTCTCATCGGCTGAATCTGAAGACTTCTTACCTCTCATTGGCAGAATCTAAAGGTTTTCTTAACTCTCCATGGCTAAATCTGAAGTCTTTCTAATCTCTCATTGGCTGAATCTGAAGACTTTCAAACCTCTCATTGGTTGAATGTGAAGACTTTTTTTCTACTTATTAGCTGAATCTTAAGAATTTCTAACCTCTTCTTGACTGAGTCTCCTTGACTGAGTCTCATTGGCTGAATCTAAAGTCTTTCTAATCTCTCATTGGTTGAATCTAAAGTCTTTCTAATCTCTCATTAGCTGAATCTAAAGTCTTTCTAATCTCTCATTGGCTGAATCTAAAGAATTCCCATTTCCCATCTCAGTATGTTAGACAATTGTCTTAGTTTTTATCAGTTCTCCTTTGGTTTAAGATAAGAACATATTAAGGCGGGGTCTTAATGCGGGTATATTATCTCATTTTTAAGTCAACTAACCTGAGTGTAAACTAGAGGAACGCTGACCCAGTCATGATTTATGATGCCAGTTAGGTTCTCCCTGATGTGTACCAGTTCACTTAGAAGAGCTTTGACAGTCTGTGGCCTAGATGAATAGACAAACTAGTAATTTGCTTAATGGACATGTCCATGCTTTCTATTGTCAATGTCTTTCACCATATGTTGTTTGCAAATTTTGTCAAAATAAAAAAAAGAAACAAACCTGAATTTATTTTAATATATCAAACTTTATTATGGTGTGAAGGATGCATGATGTGTGTGTGTTGTGTAAAAGGTAGCAGCTGGTAATGTTTTCTGTATTGTATACTGCCTCTTTTAGCTGTACTGTAGTTCTTCTCTTTATCTCCTTTATCCACTGATGTTGAACTTCCAAGCTCTAGCAGAAAGGAGGTGGAAAAGTGAAGAAGCAAGTAGTTCAATTCCATGCAATTCTTTCACCATAAATGAGGAACTTTTACCAATTTTGTAAACCTTTCACCAATTTTGCAGATCTTTCACCATTAAAGCAGACTATTCACCAACATACCAGACGCCCCTTTCAACAAGATGATTCGTGAGTATTTCAGATAATTCACCAATCTCTTCTTGATAGGAAACTAACTTTGCAGCTCTATAGTCCAATAATCATTTATTTACCAAATATTAAATCTTACTGCAGTCATTCGATGATTTTCTTTTTTGAGACCATGCTATTTATCAGTCAAGACAATATCGTTGTGCAAGCTTCCTAAACTTCAAATAATTTACCAGAGTTTGCTCTCTCTCAGACAAAGTTTCAAATTTTTCCCTTTTTTTTGACATTGAGCACGACGTAGTTTCTAGTTCATTCATAATTAATGTCCGTAAAAATGTTTGCTAGGTACAATAAAATTATAAATCTAGTGTTGACAAAAAAAAACCTTTGAACCCAAGCAAGCAAATTATCTTTGCTATACATTTGTTCACTGAAAGCAACTCCAGATGAACCCCAGATCTAAAAGCCACCAGAATTCAAGGATAACCGGAACCAAGTTAGTGCAGTGCGTAGGTCATATGTCTGTCCGAAAATCCTATAACTCTTATTCAAGTAAACTGTCAAATTTGTGGTTAATATATATTAGTCATTCGTACATGTAAGGGTTAAATAGAGGGGAAGAAAGAAAAAAGATAGTTAGTTAGTTAATTAGAAATACCCACTTATTCGCTATCGGATCCTGTTTGACCCTAAACAAAAATATAAGAAAAGATACAATGAATGCTTGGCTGCAGTAGGGTTTCCAATCTGAATTCCGTCACGCGGAATTGCGCGCAACTGTGCGGAATTGTGCGTAAGTGTTCTCGTATTGCACGGAAATGTGCATAATTGCGCAGAAATCACAGGGCTCGCAATTGCGCGGAAGTGAAATCCACTAACGTTAAAATATCAATCCACATCTTAGAGTTGTTATTTTTATTTTAAATCCCTGCTAAATAGAAAACTTTATATAATAAAAAAACCTTGCTAAAATATGTATCTTCAATAACAACGTTAAAGTTGAATCCTACTTGATTTTCCCCTCCGCTAGCGCCCTGGCACAGATATCTGAGGCCCAAGCTAGGGGTAGGAACCACTTGTTGGCAGTCACCTTTAGATCATGGTTCTGGAGTACCTGTTTTAAAAAAAAGTTCACGTATTTCAAACCAAATTTATGACTTAAAAATAACTAGTTAGGCAAATAAAAACAAACTGTTTTAAGACTCAAAAAATAAAATCAGATTTTTGGCCGCTTTTATACATTTTAAGTTCTAGAATCCAAAAGGTAAAAAGAGGAATTTGTTTGAATCCGTTACCCCTTTGTATTGATTCCATAACTGGAATTTAGATATAAATACGACTTTAAAATGAAATAGTATTTAAAAATATTTTTGATTTTCACTGTATTTCTTAGATATTTCAAATTTTAGTCATTTGATATTGTAAAGTTGATAGTTTGAAATATCAAAGGTCTTCTGTTGCAATGATAACGATTTGAAAATTGGAGTTTTCAAGGTAGTGTTCAGGGTAGTGTTTAGGGTAGTGTTCAGGGTAGTGTTCAGGGTAGTGTTCAGGTTAGTGTTCAGGTTAGCGTTCAGGGTAGTGTTCAGGTTAGTGTTCAGGGTAGTGTTCAGGGTAGTGTTCAGGTTAGTGTTCAGGTTAGGGTTCAGGGTAGTGTTAAGGGTAGTGTTCAGGGTAGTGTTCAGGGTAGTGTTCATGGTTGTGTTTAGGTTAGGGTTCCGAGTAGTGTTAAGGGTAGTGTTCAGGGTAGTGTTCAGGGTAGTGTTCAGGGTAGTGTTCAGGGTTGTGTTTAGGGTAGTGTTCAGGGTAGTGTTCAGGGTAGTGTTCAGATTAAAATATAATTAGAAATTCTTTACATCTGTTAAAAAAGTTATCCAGAAGTGTTGTGTTGAACATCTTGTGATCAAACATTGTTCTCTATCTTATGGAGACGGATTAATTTAATCCTCTTTGATATCCCTTGATGATTAAACCCTACATGGGAAACTTTTATTTAGGGATCAAGCATTGATCCTCTGATTTAAAAGTGCCCACATTGGATATCGAGATCATGATGTCAAGATTAACGATATTTCACACATAAGCTCCGATCTCAAGGGGGGGTATTATATATCTATATCTATATAATAAAGCTCTTCTCTCATATATATATATGTCAGATATAGCTGGCCAAACGGCTGGATCGAATGGACTGCTTTTTTTCCAAAATTAGATTTTCTCACTTTTAGTTCATCTGGTCTCATGAGCCCTGCATCCACCAGATGTTGAAGATCAGGAAATCTTTTCTTCACACGAAAACTCACCGTCCTCATGGCCATACAGTAGGAGAGGAGAACATATCTAAACAATAAGAGGAGAAAATCAATCATTGTTTTGACTTACAGGCCTACCCAGAAAGGATGAGAGATCAAAGACGACTGTTTACTAGCATACAATGTTTCTTTTTTGTCAAATTTTTATTTTAGCTGCAGTAAAATTACGTTAAAGTCTGAGAATCAAATTCAACCTTCAGTCACATCTTTGAAATATCGACTTTATAAGAATCGATGATAATTGGTTGTAATATCAGAATGATTTGTTTGGAATTAAATTGATTTTTTTACGATCCGAGTTGAATGTTGCAACTTTCTGAATTTGTATTGACGCTACGTTCTTCAGCATGAGACGTTTTTAACAATTTTTTCCTTACATACGCATCAGATAGACGTAAGATTAATAGCGATCTAAAGCGCTTATATTTTGGCGTCAGCCTATACCCTCTTTTATTTTCGCGAACACTCCCTTTAAGTCTCATTTCTTTGAAGCACAAACACATAGGTTTGCCATTTGGTCACTTCGTCGCCATTTTGCATTTTTAGGATCAGACCTTTTAACCTTTCAGGACATAATTTTGTTATAATGGAAAAATAGATCATCTTGCGGTAGCATATGATAAAGAATTCACATTCACTCTGATTTCGATATTCTTTAGACTACACAATACACATAGATTAAGCCAAGACAGGGTCACCATTGAAGTGTCTTAAAGGCTTCGATTTTACCGCTCTAACTCACTTATGTGTTGTTGTAGCCTTAAACATGTATACATTAAAAACAATAAAGCATTTGTTTTGAGCTATAGTCTCACCATAGTTTGTGTAGAAGTAAATATTTCCATTTGCTGATAGCAATGATATAAGGATTCTTAACTCTAATTGGATAATGAGATAGATAGAAAGATTGTTGTTACCCCCATACTATTTCTATTGGTTCAGAATAGACAACAAACACAGGACTGATCCATCATTGGATCAGGCACTAATGAACTCGGCATACAGGAGTGGTCTTTAAGAATAAATTTTTTCTAAAGAGCTTGCAGCCTTTAAATCACAACTTTAATGCATATGCAGTTTTCATAACGCGTGTAGTAAATGCAGTTATGAAAACTTAAACATTATTCAAGAGCTGATTTATGGCATGTAAATATGATATTAAAAAGTGATAAAACTGAAACATTTAACACCCTATAAATGTAATGTCATGACTCCAACCCCTGCAATATTCAAAAAACAAAAACAATTTTATTGGGGGTTCAAATTTTACGCCTAAAACTTATAGTAAATTAATATTACCCTTTCTTATAATAAAATCTTGGCCAAAACTGGTAAACAATAAACATAAATGAAGTTCAATTTTTATTAATAATTTCCTAAAAATATCACTTTAAACTCAAATTCCTTAATACCACATATCTTTGCAACCTAACATTGCAACTTTTAATATTTTAAACTGTGACTATTAATAAAAATTCATAATTCAAATATTAAAGGCCGAAGATATCCGGTTGCAAAGATATAAATAATAGAAAATCAGAGTTTGTTGAGAATAATCACTTATTGTAGCTAAAAAACTTCTCGAGTTCATATTGAAAGATTGATTCATAGATTTCTTGTAAATTAGGCCTTTTCTCTGAAGTAACTTTGAAGAAATACAAACCAATCTAAACCTGTTTTCTCTGAAGAAATACAAACCAATCTAAACCTGTTTTACTTTTTAGAATGAGTGAAAAATTATCTTAATATGCACTATGCAAAATCAAAACAACAAATCAATTTCTTAAATCGAGTTCAATTCATTGTGATCAGGGGCGAACGAGGGGGGGGGGGCACCCATATGAAAATACTTTAAAATTTCACTTTTGCCCTTAACTAAAAAAGTTTCATTAAAAAGCTTTAATCAATACTGCCTTCAGTGTGAATATATCTTTGATATCATTATTTATAATTATACAATATGTATCGTTTATGTAAAAATATATCTTTGATATCATTATTTATAATTATACAATATATATCGTTTATGTAAAAATATATCTTTGATATCATTATTTATAATTATACAATATGTATCGTTTATGTAAAATATATCTTTGATATCATTATTTATAATTATACAATATGTATCGTTTATGTAAATATATATCTTTGATATCATTATTTATAATTATACAATATGTATCGTTTATGTAAAAATATATCTTTGATATCATTATTTATAATTATACAATATGTATCGTTTATGTAAAAATATAGATATTTTTCAAGAAACGTTTCCATCTCTATTTTTCACCCATTAAAGCTTACACCACACTATTAAGAGAAAGTGTCTGATGAGTCCACTTCAGAAAATTACATAAAGAATTTATTAACACTTGTTATAAGGAAGTGTGAATAGTTTGCAAAGTTCAAAAAAGAGGTTTTTAAGGGGGGTACAATGTTGCCAAGAGGGGGCACAAATTTTTTTTTCTGCACTGACGCGCGCAAAAACGAATAATTAATAGATTATGTGTTTAATATTATTATTTGTTATTTAAAGATCTAATTTTATTTCAAAGTTTGTGTAAAACAATTTCAACATCAATATTCACCAACCAGTAAACCTTCTCCCTTCAAACCTTCTTTCTATCCCTTCAACTTTCTCTACGACCTTCTCCATATCCATTAAACCTTCTCTCTATCCATTAAAAAATTCTCCCAATCTCTCAAACCTTCTCCCTATTCATCGTACATTCTCCCTATCCATCCAAACTTCTCCTTATCCATCAAACCTTCTCTCTATCCCTAAAACCTTCTTCTTGACCCTAACCCTCTTAAAACTTCTCCCTATACCTCAACCCTTCTAATTTTCCCTCCAACCTTCTCCTATTTATCAAACCTTCTTCTATTCATCAAACCTTCAACTATTCATCAAACGTTCAACTATTCATCAAACCTTCTCCTATTCATCAAATCTTCTCCTTTTCATCAAACCTTCTCCTATTCATCAAACCTTCTCCTATTCATCAAACCTTCTCCTATTCATCAAACCTTCTCCTATTCATCAAACCTTCTCCTATCCATCAAACCTTCTTCTATTCATTAAACCTTCTCCTATTCATCAAACCTTCTCCCTATCTTTCAAACCTTCTCCATATTCCTCAAATCTTCTCCTATTCATCAAACCCTTTTCTTCTCCCTATACCTTCCACCTTCTCCCTATACCTGAACCCTTCTCCCTGTACATCAAACCGTCTTCCTATACCTCAAACCTTCTCCTATCCCTCAAACCTTCTCCCTATCCCTTAAACCTTCTCCCTATACCTCAAACCTTCTCCAGATCCCTTCAACCTTCTCCCTAAACCTAAACCCTTCTTACTATATCTCAAACCATCTCCAATCCCTTAAACCTTATCCCTATTCCTAAAACCCCCTATCCTTTCAACCTACTTGCTATCCATTAAACCTTCTCTTTTTCACTCCAACCTTTTGAATCTAGTAAAATATTCAATCAGATATAACATGAAATAAGTCTGAAACTTGAATTATTATTGCAGTTTAAATATATTTATCCTTCATAAAACCTGCGTACATTCTATAAAACCGAAATCCGAAAAAATTCAGAACATTTCCGCGAATAGTTTACTGCCTTGGCAAATAAAAACCATGGATTTAGGAAGACAAGGACCGATATTTCTGCGTAAAAGGTAAAAATCTATTTTATTGCTTAATATCTTAAAAATGCAAAATTATCTTCTGATTTTGATCTTCTAATGTCGTATTTACATTTTCAGCAAAAAGTCAATATTTAAAAAATATAATAAAGCTCTTCGCTCATATAAATATGTCAGCTATAGCTGCCCGCCAAACGTCTGGATCGAATGAGCTGAAATTTTTTAGGGAACCCTTTGGTAGCCCGGGGGTAACATCGGCTAAACAAATCGACATTTTATTCTTCAAAAATCAAATTTTTGTCTTCAAAAATCTAATTTTTTTCTTCAAAAATCAAATTTTTTTCTTCAAAAATCTTTCAAAATTTGATTTATCAAAAATACCACGGGCAACGCCGGGCACTACTGCTAGTGAATTATAATTTTTGATGTTTCCTGTTCCATCAACAAAACTAAATTTTAAATATTCTTAATAGACTTATTACAGGGTTAGTAGATATTCATAGTTTCCTAAGTCTATAAGATGAAAGATGAAAGAACGTATGCACAGAACAAAGATTATAATAGAAGGGAAATAAGACTATCCCTCGGTATGAATTTGAGCTTGAAAAAGAGTTCAATGTGGACAATTTATGTAAACGTTCACAGTACAGCACAATAATACATTATGATCCCTGGACATAACCGTTACAATGTCGTCTTTTTATATAGTTTGTACTGAAATGAACTAAGGAATGTAAAGTAAAGCTTATGCTGAAATGAACTCTGGAATACATGACAGGTTGTCAGAGAATTGATTTAGAGAAAATTAAATAATTTTTAAGAAAACTTTTTTCCATAAAAAGATGTTCTAGGGTCCAAAAGGTTGTATAGCACAAATATGCGACGTACGCCTGCAACATGGTAACAGTAAAACAAAATGGCGGTTTTACACTTTTTATACTAAATTCCACTATATCTATTCTCTTTGCGTATATGCCTGTCAGTACAGTGTATATTGAAATATCTCCAAGGTCAGAGTAGAATGAAGGGAAGTAACACTTTATAATTCAATATTTTATATACAACATGGCCTGTAGGCATCAGGCAGTCATGTTTTTATTCTACAAAAATGTAGGGTTTTCGGCTGTAAATCAAAGTTTGAGAGATAGTGTAAAAACCAAGAAAATATATAATTCTTAATGCTATCGGCACAACTTGTATGTCACGTGACCCCCAAATTGAAAAGATGTCTGCACCATTTACAACGGGGTCTTTTACACCGCGATCTAAGCAACAACAAGATTCAGTCGGTTTTTAAAAAGTGTTGAATCTGTTAATTTTCTTCTCTATCTCTGCTGCATAAATCCGGAAAACACTCTTCTAAAGAAACCATGATTGAAAATTATCATCTTTTAGAGAAAAAACCTAGAATAGCTATATCTTTATACACAGAGCCTTTAAGCAGGGAAAATAAGAACCTAGCTGAGGGGGGGGTGTAATAAAAAGATTTATAAAATCAAGCATAAATTACCTAACAATATTTCTCCTCATAATACGCTGTCTTTCTTCCTAAAAAAAGAATACTTTAAGATAAAAATGAATCAAATGCATTTTTTTTGTTAAGCTCAAATCAGTTTAACCAATACTAAATGCATTTTTATTATTTAAAATACTAGGATCTAGAAATCAATGTGTTTTATTCAAAATAAAAGATATTCAAAGTTTAAGAAAAGACTTTCCGTCCCCCTTGAATGATTTAAAAATCTACGAACCTTCCCAGTAAGAAAGCCGAGAGTGTACATAGCTATCGCATCCGGCCAGGGCAGAAGAGTGTACTGCGTCCACCATCTTGAAATATTCAGGGGATGAAATCGTTTAGTAGATCTTGCTGTAAAGGGAGTGACCGACAATGTATGGTAGTTGAACTGAGAATGTAGTATTGTGGAGAATTTTCTTATGAATCATATGAGACGTTTTTACGGTGCATATTTGTTCAGCAAGAGGGCAAATTCACCCTTTAAAATCTTCATAGATTGTTCATTTATGAGAGATGATTTTTAGAATCGGTTTTTGAAAATTTATTCAATATGACCACGGAAAATGTAGTAAACATTATACAGTAAACTTATTATTTGTTTAGGAACAGGTTAAGAAAAATAAAAATTTACTATTTTCCGAAAATAAGTAATCTTATTCATTTATTGGTTTCTGTTTCATTGTTCACAAACATTTTCTGTCGATTTCCTGGAATTTGACATTTGAATTAATAAAGAATAAAAAAGTCAATATAATGATGAAAAAGAACTAACACTGATTTATTAAGAAAATTTTAATTGACAAATATGTTCCTAAACATCGATTCTCTAAACGTACCAACCCAAATGGATGATGACGTTGACTTTGCGCTCCAGTAATTATACATCATTTAAACGTTCTATATGTCTCAAATGGATCCTAAAATATTTCTCCACAATATGATAGTCTCAGTTCAACTACCATACATTGCCAGTCACTCCCTTTAAAGTTAAATAATATTAGCTTTGACATAATAAAAATGATAGACAAACGTAAAAGTTAAGATTAACATAATTAACTTCAACTTTTCCAGTTTATTTTGAATATCAAACTAACTTTAAATGCTAAGTAAAAAGTCTGTATCTACACGATGTTTATAACGAACCTGTTGACAATGAGGGATACGTAGAAACCGAGGACAAAGGTTAAAGGTATAGAGGTCAACTGCTCGTTACAATACGTCCTCAAAGCCTCAAATGCTTCTCTAGAGGCCTTCCACTGAAATAGATAAGATAGATAGATAGATAGATATAGATAGATAGATAGATAGATAGATAGATAGATAGATAGATAGATAGATAGATAGATAGATAGATAGATAGATAGATAGATAGATAGATAAAATAAACCCAAATATTGTTTTATTTACAATCGATATCTAGTGATTTTAAACATTTTTTGAGTTTTTAAACCAAAAATTCTGAGAATGCAAAATGATGACAACTTCGATCTATAATGTATTTTTAATCATGGTGGCCCAGCTGTCTATAACTCTTAAACAGACCACTGCACTGTAGTAAATCAGAATTTTCCAGTAACAACAAAAAAAAATATTAACTAAAACTTTAATTTTTACCGCCTTTTGACCGAAACTACCGACCTATGATTCCCCAAACAGAGGTAGGTTAAATTACATAACGTCCCTTGAAACAGTTATGTAACTTGAGTTTTTAGGAAAAAATTCGCGCATTTTCATCTCAAAAGACGATAAAATTGTGTCCAACTACTTTTAAAATTTTATTCCCTTGTCAACCCTTGGTAAAGTAAAATTCCCTTAACTTCCATGTAAAATTATAGTTAAAATGTTAAGTGTAAAAATATAGAACCAAACGATCGTTTTTCAAAAGAATGAAAACTTTAACATCCCTACGTTATGTAAAATGTTAAGTGTAAAAATCTAAAATATCCGAGACCTAAATGTAAAATGTTAAGTATAAAAATCTAAAATATCTGAGACCTAAATGTTAAATGTTAAGTATAAAAATCTAGAATATCCGAGACCTAAATGTTAAGTATAAAAATCTAGAATATCCGAGGCCTAAATGTTAAGTATAAAAATCTAAAATATCTGAGACTTAAATGTTAAATGTTAAGTATAAAAATCTAGAATATCCGAGACCTAAATGTTAAGTATAAAAATCTAGAATATCCGAGACCTAAATGTTAAGTATAAAAATCTAGAATATCCGAGACCTAAATGTTAAATGTTAAGTATAAAAATCTAGAATATCCGAGACCTAAATGTTAAGTATAAAAATCTAGAATATCCGAGGCCTAAATGTTAAGTATAAAAATCTAGAATATCCAAGACCTTAATGTATAATGTTAAGTATAAAAATCTAGAATATCCGAGACCTAAATGTTAAGTATAAAAATCTAGAATATCCGAGACCTGAATGTTAAGTATAAAAATTTAGAATATCCGAGGCCTAAATGTTAAGTATAAAAATCTAGAATATCCGAGACCTATATGTTAAGTGTAAAAATCTAGAATATCCGAGGCCTAAATGTTAAGTTTAAAAATCTAGAATATCCGACCTAAATGTTAAGTATAAAAATCTAGAATATCCGAGACCTAAATGTTAAGTATAAAAATCTAGAATATCCGAGACCTAAATGAATGCGTGATGAATGAATCATCAAGGTGAGTTGCAAAACGATTTTAAAAAAACTTTTTAAAAATAAATCAAACACAAAACCTAGACGAGATGTAATTTCATGTTGGTGAGAATAAAAACCGAAGGGAAGGTTTATATTCTAATTTTTTTTATGAGAAAAAAAACGCATGGAAATTTTCTCAAATGAATTGTGAGTTGTTAAAAAATGTGACTAACGTTACTGGTTTGAAGTAATTACAAAACAAGAACTGAACGGGGAAAATTTTGATTATAATATTTAATTATTTTTTTGTTTCTGTGACTTTATCTGTCACTGTTCATTGAAACTCGTTTGACAATTAATATTAGTACTTTTAAAACTTGTCCAATGTCGACATAATTTGAAATAAAAGAGATTGAGCGCCTTCATTTTTTTATCCTCTAAAAAGTGTAGATACACAGTTAGAAAACCCTATAGCTGTGTTCAAACTATCGAAATGGCCAAATGACCAATCTACCGATTTAACAAATCTTGGTCACATGATTTCTATTCATTATTAATCAGTAATAAACATATAAAAAGAAAGAAAGAAAATTCATGTTTATTAATAAAAAAAAAAAACTTTTAAAGTAAATAATTTTCCAATTAAAACAAAAACGTAGAAGTTCAAAACAATTACGATTATGAGTTGAGAAATGATGAAAAACGAAGAAACAACCTACTTAGTACTTATACAAGGCATATTTTTAAAAAAGTTATTTTTAAATATTTAGAAATTGTTAATGATGGAAATGTTGGAAAGTATTTATTTTCAGATAGATTGGTATACATTTTTTGTAAGCCCGGGAAAAATACAAAATACTAATCAAATTAAGATTTTGATATTGATCTACCATCCCATCCCATACCCTTTTCTATTTTTGTGGACACCCTCTATTTACGATGAAATTGATATTTCTTCTTTTGTTCTTTTTAACATGAAATTAGACCTGATGTTTCGTGATTTTAAAAGTGGCATTATATTCAGCCTGATAATCAAAGTTACCCGAACAAGTTAAAATCAACTTTTTCAAACATGCATTAAGTATTTTGTTCTACTTGTCTTGCAAACACAGAAGTAGAAAGAAGGAGAGGGTGTATATGCAACATGAACTGAAGGACTTTGTGACCGCGTAGCTCATCATTGATTTTATGCACAATTAGGACAAAACCAAAGGTATTGAAATTTGAGTCTTTACACCCAAATATATATATATATTTCAAACTATAATGAATTATAATTGGATCAAATATTTTGAAATATCAAAGGTTTACCATATCCGGTTGCAAAGATATAGGAATAAGAAAATGTGGGTTTATGGCAAAGACTTAATTCATTTATTGGGTTACATTTTTATCTCAATAATGGAGCTCCTCAATAAATAATTTAAGGATTAAAAAAATTAAATAGTTTAACATTATAAATACAGATGCCCTTCAGGTCGATTTCCTCTCTTCGTTAACGATCGTTAATGAAGGGTTGTCGTTAACGACCGTTAACGAATGGTCGTCTTTAACGATCGATAACGAAGGGTCGTCGTTAACGATCGTTAACGAAAAGACGATTTTAAGAAAAACGACCATTTTTAAAAAACTAACTTTTTGAGAAAAACTATCGTTTTTTAAAAACGATTGTTTCGTTTCCGATTTTTCGTCGTGGTTTTCACAACGAAACGATCGTTTTTCAAAAAAAATGAAAACGTTAACATCCCTAATTACGTTGAATTTACTTTAGTTTGACGTATATACATATTTTTTAAATTGGCAATATTAGCGCATTTTTGTGCAATGTATTGCACGATGGATATTTAAAGTTCAGTTGGCAAATTTTGAATGTCAAGGCAAAATGTGAACTTTTATCCTCAAATTCTTAGAAAACATTTGTTTTAACAGATTTGACGTTTAAGGGGTGATCAAGAAATTAACGTTGCACATGCTTAAAGAGACTGTTGATATAATTCAAGTGACACTGCATAAGATTCACAATGGTTCACCCTATAAACCGTTGAATAAACGAGAATAATGAAGTTTTCTTTTTTTCTTTTTAAGATTTATTTCAGTTCCAGTTCTTTAATAAGTATAAGTTGCGGATTTTTGCGTGCAGAAGAGGTAGGACGGCAAATTGAGAAATCAAAATATGTTCATACTATAGTAAAATTAACTTCAAAGTAAAATATATTTTTTTAAATGAAATAAACTGCAAACAGCCTTTAATATCTAATACAGTGTATGGAAGACGACATTCAAAACTATTTACCAACTGTCATGTTTTGTGGGACACCCTGTATTTTACTGCAGAAGTCAGTTAAAATTATGCTAATTGATTCTTTACAATATTTAAACAAATACGGACAACGTGTAAAAACGCGAAAACTTGGTTAAAAAGATAATAAAAAAGGTAAAATAAAAAAGTAAAAAGACTTGCTTTAAAAATGGGGGTTTTCTTGTTACAAAGGGGCCGACTGCCGAGTAAACAAGAATGGTTCTGGTTATACTTAACAGCTTTTTAAAAAGGGAGCCCTTCAAAACATGAGTTTGCTATGGAAGGTAGTGTGATGTACCACTAGGGGCCTTTCAGTTTTGACTGAAGGAGAAAAAAAGGTGAAGGGAAAAAGAGAGATACTCGGGGTTCTAATAATAAAAGAAAAAAACTGGTTACAAGGGGACTTCTTACGAAAGGTGAGGCCTTGTTTTAAGATTTAATTCACATTTTGTTTCATAAACAAATGCATACAAATTTTAATTCACAAAAAAATCACACTTTTTTCATGAGGCCCTGTAGAAGGTTAGTTTTTCCCGTATTAAAAACTCATTTTTTAAGATTACAGAAGATTAAACGCGACTTATTGGTGCTGGGCTTGGATTAGTAAACGCACCCTCTGGCGTTTAAGTTATGTCATCATGGAATGCGTTAGTGCGTAGAAGATTGTGTGAATAATGTCCGTGTCTTGGTTTGTTGTGACGTAAATGATACTTTATCTAAAAGACAGATCTAAGGTCTCAGTGGGACAACCTTCCCCCCTCCCCCCCCCCCACCATCTCTCTATCTTTTAAAAACATTTAAGGTGGGCCATGGTCTCGAAATTCAGGGGTAAAAAAGAAATTAATAACTACAATTTTGCTTCATTCTCCCCCGAGCAAAATTGTTAGTACGGAAAGTTTGCAGGGCAAAACATTCAAAATCGTGAAACTGACTTAAACTCAATTAGAATAAACATTAAAAACAGTACTCTGACACCCCCCTCCCCTTATAAATCACCCAAGTTGCGCCTCCTTCAATAATCATCTCCTTAAACTGCTGGAATGCCCCTGTATCGAGCGGAGAAGTAAAAACTACCATTAACACAGTTTTGAGATAAACAGGATAGAATAAAACTACTGGAGCTGTATATGATATAAACAGGATAGAATAAAACTACTGGAGCTGTATATATGTTTCTAACTGTTCATAGTTCACCTATATCTCTGTTTTGCTTTTTAGCTTCTTGGATCAGCTTTAAAATAAGCGGTTTTGTCTTGATCACTACTAACCTTACTTCTATCTCTTGCGTCTACAAGGATAAAATTGTTAAAAACGACTCATGCCGAAGAACGTAGCGTCCATACAAAATCTGAAAGTTGCAACATTCATCTCGGATCGTAAAA